AGTGAACCATGCAAAACCCAGCTGCTCCTTCCTTCAACTCGCCATGAATGCACTTGCCTCCTTCCAAGGCTTTGACATAGCAGCCCTGGCTGGGGTCAAAGTACGCTTTTGCCAAAGGGATTGCAGCAGCTGCCTGGAGATCCTCTTCCTCCGAGTCTTTCACAACCAAAACATCTGAATCTGAGTCCACCTGGTCTGCCTCTCCCACGTCAGAGGCCTCTGCAGCTGCCTCATCGTCAACTGATGCATTACTGGCAGTGGCTGGAAGACCATACATGCTGAAAACATCGCACGAAGTTGTAGCCTTCCTTTTGAAACGGTATCTTCTGCTTGGCTTAAAGGGTGCAGGGTCACCTGCAGGAAGAGCCTGTGCTGCGCCAGGTGTCTCGACGGGCTCGCGTTCTTTCATGGGATCCATGGCTTTCTGCGGAGTGCCTTGCCCTGTAAGCTGCTTGAGCTTCGACACAAGCCTCCACACACTGGGCGTGAGCTTCTTCCCGGAACTGCTGGACTGCAGCTTGCTCCTCAAATGCTTGAAGCAAGCAGATATGTCCCTTGCCACTGCGCGAGCATCCTTGCCACTGACGTCATAAGATCTGACCAAGCCGTCCCTCAGCACAGACTCTGAAGGCCGAACTGTCTCATCCATGATGTCTGCCAGCAAGCCCTCATACTGTGCTATAACCTCCTCCACATCCTTTCTGAAAGCTGCCGGGTCCAGGTCTTTGAAGTGAGATCTGAAGCACTTCACCAAGTCTTTGGCACTAGCCGTGTTTCTAGCTCGAGGAGGCGGCATGTTTGCAGCCATGCAAGGGCTCGGTCCAACTGCGTCTGCTGCCTTTACGCAGGCACATGCACGCCGCTGCACATACTCAACAAACATGCTTGAAAAAAAGAAACAACAACAATCTGCGGAAAAAAAACAACACGTCCATCGTCCCCAAGTTAAAAAAACCTTTGACGTTCAGCAAAACAAAGATCAGCGTTCAAGCAAAAATATATTTGCAATCTTGGAGTAAAATTCGAGACATGTCTGTGAAATCCATGAACCATAGAAAATCAAGCTCTCTATTTAAGCATTGTTTTTTGCAAAAACAACAATGCTTAATTAAGCGAACAATGCTTAAATAAAAACTACAATGCTTAATTAAGCACAAAACAATGCTTCCTAAAGCATTTTTGCTTCAAAAAACAAAAAACAATGTTTAATTAAAGGAAAAACGCTTAATTAAGCATTCACTTTAAGCATTGTTAGCTTAATTAGATATTGTTAAATTATTTAACTACTTTTGGAAGCTCTGGGCAACTCAACGCCGGTTTTCCTTAGCATGCGGATGACAACTGTGTCTATAGCAAAACTAGGCGATGCCAGCTTGGTACAGCTGACGGGGCCCGACTGAGTCGGGCCCCGATCGGGGTGCGATGGGGTCGATCGGGCCCAAACGGTGCAATCGGGCCCGGACAGTGCAATCGGGCCCCGACCTAGGCCCGGTGAACCTTGCAAGCCGTTCTCGTGCAACTTTCGTGGAGCTCAGCGTCTTGTGGAATTCTTGGAACCCAAAGCCCACCAAGCAGCAATGCCAAGCATTTACTCTGCTGCACCGTGAGCCCCGCAGCGACGTGATCAGATTTGCCACAAAGCCAACATTTGCCTGAGCAAGTGAGCAAGTCACAAAACAGTGAAAGTGTGCTAAAAACCATTGATTTCGGTTTTGCGTAGTGTTCCGCCCGTGAGCAAAGCGATCTTGATCCGATGGTTTTTCAAACGACGGGCGCACGACACACTGCTTCCCTCCAGGACAAACCGCGGAACCTTGCAGAACATTTCTGGAACCCTTGGTGGAACATTGTGGTGCCTTGTGGAACCCGTGTGGAATCCTTGCAGAAGTTTGTGGAACCCTGTAACACTTTGAAACTCAGGGCCCACAGCCCTCGCAGAATCTCCTTACATCAAACCACCCCAGACCACCCCGCAGCCCTTGCAGAACCTCGTGGAACCCTGCTAGAACCGTGCTGGAACCTTCATGGAACCTTACCTTGCAAAACCTGGTGGAATTTTGGTGGAACCCTCATGGAACCAAACCTCAAACCAGCCCGGACCGCTGGTGGAACCCTGGTGGAACCCTGGTAGAAGTCTCGCGGGAACCTTCCTCAAACCACCCCGCAACCGGAAGCCTGCGAAGGGCTGGTGGAACCTTGGTGGAACCCGCGTGGAACCCTCGTGGAACCTTCCTCAAACCAGCCCGGACCACCCCGCAGCCCTCGAAGAAATTGGTGGAACCTTGGTGGAACCCTCGTGGAACCTTACCTCAAACCACCCCGGACCACCCCGCAGCCCTTGCAGAACCTGGTGGAACCCTGGTGGAAACCTCGCAGATGGTGGAAATCTGGTGGAACCCTGGTGGAAACCTGGTGGAACCCTCGTGGAACCGAACCACAAACCACCCGGACCACCCAGCCCTCGCAGATGGTGGAAAATTTGGTGGAACCCTGGTGGAAGACGGAAGACTGGTGGAACCCTGGTGGAACCCTGGTGGAACCCTGGTGGAACCCTCGTGGAACCTTCCTCAAACCAGCCCGGACCACCCCGCAGCCCTCGAAGAAATTGGTGGAACCCTGGTGGAACCCTCATGGAACCTTACCTCAAACCACCCCGGACCACCCCGCAGCCCTTGCAGAACCTGGTGGAACCCTGGTGGAACCCTGGTGGAAGCCTGGTGGAAGCCTGGTGAAGCCTGGTGGAACCCTGGTGGAACCTTAGCTCAGGGTCGCCCCGAACCACCCGGAGCCTATCTGGGCTGAGACCCTAAAGCTTTCAGCTGTTGGGGAAAAACCGGTACCAACATGGAACCCTGGTAAGTGGAAAAATGGACCAAAACCTGCGTAACCCCTGCTGTTTAATTTTGAGCCACACTGATGTGGGTCGAATCATGTTGACCACATGTACGTGGGCAACTCCAACAACACCAACATGAAGCAGTGCGAAGCAACGCGTTTTGCCATTTCAAATCCATGACAAAAGAAGACTAAACCGAAAATGAAGCCAATGCTAGGCAAAAAGCACCGAATCAGACCAAAGAGGACCAGAGAGGATTCAAGAGGACCGAAAAGGACCAAGCCGGCCTGTCTGATTTTAATTGTTCTAAATGTTCAGTGTCCCCCAAACAAGGGGAGGTTGAAAAACAGCGCCTAAGGAGTTACAGTGCCCAGAATCTGGGTACCAGGTCCCAGAAAAAGGCCTTTGGGGATGACCGCTCTCAATGGCCAGGGCCATTGAAAAGCTCTCACTTCTCAAGTGGATTGGCCAAGAAAAGTAAACCAAACTGGCCATGGGTCAAAATCCAAATCGTACCCCCAGTGAACATCCCACTACCCACTAAAATAGGCTCTAAAATGGGTGAATTCACCTTCTCCAAAATGGGATCCCATTAGTTTTGACCCACAGCCAACTTTTTGTTTGGTCCAAACCCAAGTTGACAAAACCACGCTTCAACTCAAGAACTGAGATGGAACCCTTCACAGAGCTTTCAGGCAACAACTGCGTTCATTGCCGCGGAAGACACCGACACATTGCTTCAACCTGCAGCATGTGAGCGCTTTCCGCTTGGCTCGCCGCGGCACGGGGGCAGCCGCTTCCAAAGCGCTAGCATACAGGCCATGACACGTTGGTCACGGCGCTGGTCGCGTAAGGTACCCTTGGTCCTCCAGTAGAGAGGGTAGAATAAGGGTACCAACTTGTTTTTTTTTTAAAAAAATCAGTAGGGGAACGCTCCCAACCAAAAAAGGGGTGAGAAAGGGCACTACTGGGGGACCTAGTAAGATACCAGAATGCCCAGTCTTTGGTCCGAACGGACGGTCCACGGTTCTGATCAAGTTCTCTCTCTAGAAAACGGTTTGGGCGAGTGCTTCGAGGCGGCTATGCTGTGCTCTTACTGCAAGGGCACTTTGCTACTACTCGAAGACCCCGCATTGTAAATGGTGAAAATGCCAAAAGTCGTAACCTGGATTGCCCTCCTTACAAGTCTTTCTCTATCTCCACCGCGGGTATCCATCGTCAAAGATCAGACCGTCGGGTACTGAAAGGCCTCACAAAGAGGACACTGCAGCAATCAAGTCAGCTCCAGCCAAAGTGTTCAAGCCGAGAGGGCCCTGTATATTGTCAGTGCAAAGCGCGGGCTGCATGCTTGGAATGCATCGGATTGAGCGCCTTACAAATGAGCGGTCACAGAAAAACCAACCACTGGAAGGGCCCAACATGTGTTTACTTCAGCGTCAATGGACATCCTTTTTCCCCGGTTGGCTTCTGTTGCCCGCAAACTGGAGCCACATTCCCAACTCAGTTGTTCAGTGACCCTGGAAAAAAAGGGAACCCTTTTTGGGGAAGACCATATTTAGTGGGGCAGCCATCCAAAAAAAGGGGGAAAAAGGGTCCCACTGAACAGCTGAGCCCACAAAGGTTACCAATCCATCCGGGCATATGCCCTCGGGACAGTTGCATTGGGGGGTGCGGACATGTGGTACCGGCATGTTGCTTTAGCTTCTGGTTTGGAGGTTCGCAGTTGGTGGTTTCCCATCTACAAGAACCTTGGGGGTCAAATCCAAATCCAGTTCCCCAAACCACCAATGAAGCCTGGCCCCTTTTTTACGGAAGGCACGCCTTGAAGCCGAGGGCCTTTGTTAAATCCCTTAGAGCACGTTGCAACATAGACCTTTGAGGGTTCTTTCAGGTTGCGTGTTAGTGAATTGCAGTCCTCGGGATCCTTGGCCAGTTGTTTTATTCAAGGTTGACTCATCGCGGATATCGAAGCGCTGTTCTGGAACCCATGTGGACGCCGCATTTGGGCAGTTTTGCCTAGGTCTCGGTTGTTGACGGTGCAGGCGTCAACATCCTGCCATTTGGGGGTTGATCACAAGATCCTTAAGATGGGGTGACCGTCAGGGGAAACTAAATGGGAAAAGAAAAGTTACCTTACCCATGGTCATTTTGGGGCTGAAAGGAATGTTGATCAACCCCCATTGATGAACCTGTACTCTCTCCTGAGCTGGTTGGCGCTCTGTTCACCATTCAGCATGCACCACTCAGCTCACAGAGAGCGTCACACATTAGCTTCTACGACCGTGTTGGTCAAGGCTCACGCTTGAGAAGCCTCTGGGTACCGGAAAACACTGAGGCTGAGCAACAACTTGCCGGGCTGGCCAAAACCAATTCTATCTATCCTCCTTGAATCCTTCAAAAATAAATGAACAGGTACAAGTCTCATTCAGAAATGACACCTTGCAGGGGAGCTTTGTGCATCTGGTGTCTTGGGTGTCAAGTGCTGTAAGACCTAAGCTGGTGTGTGCGTGTGCGTGCGTGCGTGCGTGCGTGCGTGCGTGCGTGCGTGCGTGCGTGCGTGCGTGCGTGTGTGCGTGCGTGTGTGTGTGTGTGTGTGTGTGTGTGTGTGTGTGTGTGTGTGTGTGTGTGTGTGTGTGTGTGTGTGTGTGTGTGTGTGTGTGTGTGTGTGTGTGTGTGTGTGTGTGTGTGTGTGTGTGTGTGTGTGTGTGTGTGTGTGTGTGTGTGTGTGTGTGTGTGTGTGTGTGTGTGTGGTGTGTGTGTGTGTGTGTGTGTGTGTGTGTGTGTGTGTGTGTGTGTGGGTGTGTGTGTGTGGTGTGTGGTGTGTGTGTGTGGTGTGTGGTGTGTGTGTGTGTGTGTGTGTGTGTGTGTGTGTGTGTGTGTGTGTGGTGTGTGTGTGTGTGTGTGTGTGTGTGTGTGGTGTGTGTGTGGTGTGTGTGTGTGTGGCGTGTGGCGTGTGGTGGTGTGTGGTGGTGTGATGTGGTGTGGTGTGGTGTGGTGTGGGTGTGGGTGTGGGTGTGGGTGTGGGTGTGGGTGTGGGTGTGGGTGTGGGTGTGGGTGTGGGTGTGGGTGTGGGTGTGGGGTGGGTGTGGGTGTGGGTGTGGGTGTGGGTGTGTGTGGGTGCGTGCGTGCGTGCGTGCGTGCGTGCGTGCGTGCGTGCGTGCGTGCTTGCTTGTGCTTGTGCGTGTGCGTGCGCGTGCGCGTGCGCGTGTGCGTGCGCGTGTGCGTGTGCGTGTGCGTGCGCGGGGGCGGGTGCGGGGGCGGGGGTGTGTGTGTGTGTGTGTGTGGTGACGTCCTACAGAATGTGAGCTCATTTGGATTCAAATCAAATCGAAAGCACGCCAGCTCAAGCCAAAGCAGCACCCAATACAACATGTCCAGACATGCGTGGGCCTTCTGAAGCCAAAAGGATATTGAAGCACGCTCGGCCCGCTGAGCTAATTGGTCAGGAACCCTAGCTCTCAGACTCTCGGGCCTAGCGGATTACCTGAGGGCTAGCCTCAGAATGGTAGATCTTACTTGGGCGTCCGACAAACTCCCGCAAACATCTTCTTCTATTGGCTCAAGCCCAAAATGAGAACATACTTCCAGTAGTGAAATCGATTCCCTTTAAAACCAACAGGGGAACATTGAACAAATATCCTTAAACATAGAATTGATTCCCTTTAAAATCAACAGGGGAACATAAGCATATTCTTAAACATGAAATCGATTCCCTTTAAGACCAACAGGGGAACTTAAAAACAAAATCATAAGCTCGGGCGATATCCCCAACAGCATGTGGTGCTCTTTTGAGTGCTCGCACCACCCCGCAGCCCTCGCAAAAACCTCGTGGAAGCCTCGTGGAACCCTGGTGAAACCCCCGTGGAACCTTACCTCAGGGCCGCCCCGGACCACCCGGAGCCTATCTGGGCTGAGACCCCAAGCTTTCAGCTGGGGAACAAACATATAAATTCTTACACACATTGCAATCCATCAGATGGTTTTTGTTCCCATATGTTTCTGTTACATATGCATCAGACGCTTCCATTTGCATCCTTTATGCGAGTGCCGGTCCGCTTCGGCTCCGCTTCCTCGGATCGATCCCAGTCACGCGCCTCGTTGGCGTCGCTCCACTGGGGCGAGGCGGGTCGAGCAGTGCCCAAGGGAGAGGACACCGACTGGACCTCAGCTCTTCGCCGCCTGCGTAAAAGGCACGCACTAAATACTATAGATAACTTATCCAAAAAACACCTGGGACATTTGTGTCATTTACCATCATGTCATGTCCTCAGGGGCGGTTCATTACCCCAAAAGGAGAAGCCCTGGGTTTAAGTCATCTTAAACTAAAGAGCTACAAACTGCAGGTTGGAGTCTTTGGTTCCATTTGCCAAGGTGCCACATTGGTACATTCTTTTGAGCCACAGCCACTTCTGCGTGTAGCTACCCATTTAGCGAGTCGTCCCAGACCATCCAAGTAGGGTACGATGCTCAACTCCTCATACGTACGAGGTAAGCACTAAATACCACAATAGATGATTTATTTCATATGTCTGGGACATTTTTGGTAATTTAGCACACTATCGTTATGTCCTTGACAACCCAAGAAACAACCGGAAAAAAAAGGTAGGAACAGGAGAGAGGCTTAGCCTGACCCAACATCCCCACCCCTGTCTTCCTGTAAATAGGCCGCTGCGCTTCGAAAATTGACTTCGCCCTCGCATGTCAGAGGGTCTTTGAGAATGCGTAGCCGCCAATCTGCCGCATGGACTCGCTCATGCTTGAAGCCTGAAACTGAGCTAAACTGAACTCCGAAGCTTCAAGGTTGAATCTGGGATTGGCTTTCTCAACCTTCACGGACACAAAGTAGAGGTTGATAACAAAGATTGAAGCATCTGGGATCTCAAGCGCTGAAGCTCAAAGGCTCAAACCTTCGGCAGAGGATGGGAACCTTCCCCATCTGATCAATGGAGACACATGGCTTGAACGAGAATTCAAAAGCAACCCTTTTTGGAAGGAAGCTGGCCTAAGCCCCGAGAAAAGTAGACCATCATGTTGACCCCATGTTAATCAACCCCAGTTTACTAATAGGAAGGTGGGGGCCCCACTCCAAAAGTGGTCTAATTCCAACCACTAAACCAAGGGACACCCGATAATAGACAGGGGTTGATTAAGACGGGGTCACCATTATGAGGTTGGGGTTCAAGATGGTGGCAGCAAACACCTATTGACCAAGAAAGCTTAAACGATTGCCCTTGAATCCTGCAACGCATACATGTGTCAAAGATTCCGGCTTCGAGACTTTGCTACCGCTCTCTTGGAATTTGTTGGACCATGTTTGCATCCTTGAACACTCCAACTGTGCTTGGGCAACGACGACCAACACCTGCGGCTCACAACGCATATTCTCATATGTGTAATGCAGAGCTCTGGATACACATCACTTATACATGGCGGCCCTCCTGCGTTTGAGGGCTTGAGGGATCTAAACTGTACGTACGTGCGCATGTAGGTGTCTGCCTGCCTGCCTGTGTAAACGGATGTAGGTCCTACAGGTACATAGGCAAATATGGATGGACGCGTGCATGCAATGCATGTGTCTGTGTCTGTGTCTGTGTCTATGTCTGTGTCTGTGTCTGTGTCTGTGTGTGTGTGTGTCTGTGTGTCTGTGTGTGTGT